CTTGTCAGTACATGTGTTCTGGAATGTGACAAATGACATAACACAACGAATCTTGCCACAACATTTGTTTTCTTCCTCAGTAGGCATGACACGACCAGACACCACATACACACCAGGTAGGCTTTCCTTATGGGAGACGTGGGACAGCATCACCTGTGCCATATTGTACCAAATTCTTGGCATAATCCAGACTCCCTTTTCCATTTGACAACAAATTTGAAAGAATATTGTCGTTTGAGCGTCGCTTAATCCCTCAATAAAGCTCTAAAATTATATATAAAGCCATTATGAAGACATAAACCAGGAAAACCAAACGTAAATGTGCCTAGAGCCTTGATAAATGTCATAGCCAGATGCATATAATACAGTGACTTGCACTTGGCAGCCATGTTTGCTTGACCAACAGAAAGAAGAATGAATTATTCATTAGGGCACATATGTGGAAATTTTCATTGAATATGCGTCGTATGTGCATCATTTAACTTTTATATTTGTGGTGTAATACTCATTAATCATAATTATTTGGATTATATAAAAGACCTGGTATTGCAGTCGCCGTACTTTGTTTCTTGTTTTTACAAGACTTTTTTGACCCACAGGAACACTTGTCATGCAGTGCAAATTTTCATCACAACACAGAAAACCGCGCTTTTTTCATCCACTACGTCTTCTACATGTATTTTTGCAGCTGCAAAACTATCAAATAAATACAATGAATAAATAGAAATATACATACCAATTAATAAAGGAATCAACAAAACATTAAGTCAAAAACATACCTGGATTTATGTTTTCAACAATTGTTGAAGCACTAGCAGTTGATGCATTAAAGGCACTGGCAGTTGATGCAACCTCTCCTAACTGAATTTGATCGTGGCTTTAATCGGAGAACCATAACAATTTAAATTGTCTTCAGGATCGTAAACAGACACAGCATAATCAGAGTCTGAATCGGACATTTTATCATGATTTTAAAGCTTGTTGCGTGTGGCTACCGTCAAGTATCAATGCGCGAATATAAATGAAGTAACAAGCATGAACAATAATATAAACAAAAAGTGCGCTGTGCATGACACACATTCTTTAACAACAAATAACAATGTTTATAGCCTTTAATATTCATAAATGGAAGCCAAATAAAAAGTCTCTTGTGTTCATGTAAATAGACAATTCCCATTATAGACTAATTTTAGAACTAGGCAAAGAGATGCAAATCAAGGCCGGATTTTGGTGAAAATAGTGGGGGAGGTGGAAAAAATGTTAGGGGAGGTGCAGCTGTCTAGCTCACAACCCCCATGGAAAGTTAGGGCTTATTGTAGAACAGGCCAATATCAACGAGGTGAGGTATGCATGTAGTGTACATATGTACCAGTGTATTAATGAATTATGAATGTATGACTCCAATCTTGCCCTAATCATTTATACAATTGCTACAAAGTTTCTTTCAAAACATTGCATTAAAAGGGTACTTGACACAGAGAAGAATGGCTATCACTGTTTCAATTTTACAGAGAAAACTTTCTTACATCACAAAGTGTAGATCCTAAGCAACCATCACATTTTCACTTTGTACCATTGTTGAAACTAATTCCCAAGGGGAGGTGCATTACCTTTCAGGGGAGGTGCAAAAATGCTCAGGGATGTACAAAACGATCTCAGTGGAGGTGCGCACCTTGCCTCAAAATCTGGCCTTGATGCAAATAAATCACCACAGCTACAAAGAGCATACTAAAATAAGTAAATTATTGCAAAGTTTGGTTGCAAAATGTTGTAAAATACAGAAAATATAGCCTTGCAAAGTTTGCAAATTTTGTCTACTTTTGTATTGCATGCAAAAATTGCAATACAAAAGTATACAAAATTTGCAAACTTTGGAAGGCTATTATATTTTTTACATTTTACAACATTTTGCAACCAAACTTTGCAATTTTACTAGAAATACATGCATGCAGTAACCCCTCGCCAGTATTTTCCAAACATTAAATTAACATGAAGTATTCAGAAATGGCCAACACTTGAACGGAGGTTCATGCTCAAATGTTGCCATGACAACACAATATTCTTAAATTTTTAATCTTCATATTTTTGTTACAAAACTGCAAAATAGTTGAAAGATTCGTACTTTTAACTATACAACAATAAATTTCTGAAATATATACTGTAAGTATATTATTTTGCATTACATTTAACTTGAAACGCTTTGTAAAATGTTTTGAAATGTTCATTCAACTAAACTACATTTGTCGATAAACTGTTTTTACTTTATAATAAAACATAATAAGTTAATACAAATAAAACAAATTGTTAGGTAATTTCAGTTCAGTCTTTAAATCAATTTGTTCTCCTTTACATTTTAAGATTTTTCTCAAATTAAACGGTAATTTTTGAAACTTAGAGCTTCGTTGAAAAGGAAAACAGTTCATGTTTTTAGGCAAAAATTTAAAGGAACAAAATTCGTAAACACTAAATATTCAAAGCAAACTTGCCGTATATTTCACAATTTCCCATAGCAAATCAATTCTTCTCATTTCTTCAAACAAAATTGCTTCAAGCTTGTTGTGTACGAAACGATTTTCCAAATATATGTCTTTTAACTGAAATCTTGCTTATCCCACTCCTATACACGCAATCAGCCATATTTTTGAGATCAGTGAGGATGGCCACCCACTCAACATCGTTGGTGACCAACGCCCGCGCTCATTGATGAACTTTAGACTTGGCTAACGCTTTCGTTTCCCCAAGTGTAAATAGCCAGGGGGAATTAGTACCTTTGCACGGCGCTTTGCGCCGTCGGCTCGGGACTAACGTTAGTATGCCCTTCCCAACACCGCGGAAAAACGTCTGCGCATGCGTCAACCTTACCCTGTAATAGTATTGCGAACTTGATGAGAAGCTGTTCCGAATGTTTCCGAAAGCTCAAAATGGCGATAAAAAGGAGTGACTTCATTGTGCGTCTTTACAGCCAGATTTCGAGCGCAAAAATAAACATGTCATTCTAAAAACTAGGAATAAATACAGCCAGAAGGTTCAAGAAATTGTATTGTACAAGAACATGAACTAAAGGTGATTGTTGACAAATTTATCGTGTGAAACATTTTGTTTATCAACTAAGCAACGACAATTTCCGAATGAGATACATTTCTTTAAAAAAAACTGTGTCACCAAATATAAAAAATTTGCGTGTTCACAATAATTAAACTTTAGGATTTATTCTACAATTTGAGTGGGTTAAGAAGCTTAACTTTTCGAGAGTTTTCTTAACTTTTTAGTTTGAATTTTTGTTTTGAATAATTTTGCAAAAATTTTCGAAGTTGTGTCCGTTAAAATCAACAATTTTTTACATGAATTATATTTCATTCCATACTTTAAATGCCAGGACGCTTTCAATTAATGTCTAGTCTACTCATTTGCTATATTTTCTCATTTGTTTTACTAATTTTTGACCAATTAATAAGCATGTTTTTGTTTTAGAAATTGATATTCAAATTCCCCGCCATATTTTCATAATTTGGTGAATTGTCTATTGGTCCCCATCATCTATTTTTGTTTCTCTAAATAAAGACCTAGAGTTTTTGTTTCTCTAAATAAAGATAAAGAGCTAGAGGGGGGCGGGGGGAATTTATGTTCTTGTTTTGACTGTTGGGGGCAATGAAAAAATATTGTAACTGTAGAGTTTCTCCTCAGTCTCCCCCTGTACAATAAAAATAATGAGCAGTCCCTAATAGTAATATAGACAAAAAGATTCTATTTCTATATGCACTCAATAAATTTACATGGTGTTTCCACAAACAAAAAGTATTATATGTTTATTATTATACTATCCTCAATTCTACAAAGAACTTATTATAAGGTTGATACCTGCTTTCATTTCTGGAGTGAGGATTATTGCAACCTTCTGTTTTCCCCCTTTATCTCAACCATGTCAAGCCTATTAAAATTTAAAAATCATTATGAGCTCATTTCGATATTGGTGAGACTTAGATTTCACTTCTGCTACCACTACTGACGGTGCATCTAATCCACAGACATGCAAAAAGTGGCAGTAAGAGTGGTGGTATAGTAGCAGCGGTAATAATAATATAGACAAAAAGATTCTATTCATGAATTGTTACACTGTAGGTCAAAGTGAGTTTTGAATTCCATTGCAGAATCTAAATACAAACCAACACCCCACCACTTTCATTTTGACGATGGTTGTGCACAAAATCATAGCCCTGTATATCACAATTGCTCTCAGAAGTTTGCAACCATGCAGGTTTCAGAGACAACAATAACTGTAAATTTATTGATTGGAAAGACCCATTTATATTATGTGTGCGATTAAGATTTCGTATCGCAGTGCATGTTTTATCAGACCTAAAAATATTCGGCTTCGTCTCATATTGTTATATTTGATAAAACACTGCTGCTCATGTTTTAAATAACACCTAAAGATACAAATTAAATTCGTCATTACATATCGAGATGACTAAATGTTGTAGTTTACTGGTAGTAGTAGACGTGCAAACTAAAAGTTCTTGATAGAATTTGGTTTGGACATTTTCATGCATGGAGCTTTCATTTATTACGAGATTCCCACTCATCATAAACCATTCATAAAATATTAATTTTGTCACCGCTCTGATAGTTATCGTTCCCAATTCGTATCCAGGATTTCCATATTGGCTGACCGGGCCCAATCAGGTCTGCTGTTGTAGGATGTGAGCAGCAACTTTGATGCTTCGCCAGCCCTTCTTTTGTCAAGCATCACAATCCTTGCCAACAGCAGTTTGGCCAGCGAAGTCCAGCTTCTCATGGTTGGACTTGCTTTCAAACTGACTCCTCTTCGATTTTTGCTCAATGAAGTTCTTTACATGAGTAATATCTTCGACAAGAGGAGGGCACATCAACTTTATTAAATTTTCGTTAATGCAGGGTAGACAAAAAAATGGTGGGAAAAATTATACTCCCATTCTGATTTCATCAGTTTTTGAAAGTTCTTAATATCTTTCAATGTAAAATCATCCTACATACGCAAAGCCTAAACCACTTAAAATGGAAGCACATTTTTGTATCGAGTAACCCACTTTCAATGCCAGTGATGGAATGCTCACTTTGAGCTGATCATTTTGTGAATTGAATCCAGTGATAATATGTACAGCTGTGACAACCATATCAAACTTCTCGGGCTTGATGAAGTTAGACAACTGGACGTTTTTACTTTTCTCAACCAACAAAAAACCTTCTACTAAGCGACCAAGCTCTCTCATTTTCTGAGAAATGAACTGGCTGTCTTTTGGTCCGCTTTTTTCGATCATCATTGATCCAAATGCCTTGATCAGAGGCTCTTTCTGAACAATTTTGGAAATACAATCATTTTTCATGACTGAAATTATTTTGTTTAATCTTTCGTCTTTCCTGTCAGTTATCGAAGGAGCTAACATAAGTTTTGCCTTCAGTTGAACTTGTTGTGTTTAACATATACTAGAAAGGCAATCAACCTCTCAATCTCCTCAAGGTTGGTGGACATCCAGGACCCTTCTTTATTAGTATATGGGATGATTTTTGGGTTATTTGTATGTGGGCATATGTATTGGTATGGGCAACTACCTGCTGAAGCATTTCCTTAGTGAAAAAGAGCTGAAATAATTGAAGGTCACAGTTCATACTTCTGGTGAAAGCTTGATCAAAATGGGTCCCAACATGTCAGTGAGGGGATCACCAAATCGTGTCAGGATCACCAAATCCCTCATGCACTATGGGGCCTAATGGGAGTGCTAGACAGGGGAGCTTTGGGCCCAAATGGGCTTCCCTCTACCCAGCAGCTAGGAACAGGACCAATATCTTCGTCACTACAAACAAAAACATTTTTTATAGACAATTTACATGGCACCACTTGAAATCATAATACAGATACACTCAAAGCCAAACTAGTAAAATATAAGTATGAATACTTGGTCTATTATGCATGTATCAAACATGTGCTCAAGGCTCATTTTACTTTGGCTAGGAATTTATGCCTAAAATACCATAAATTTTCGTCAACAATATAAATAAATACCACAGGGTAAAACAACACTCTGGAAGTGATTTCTGCAATGCTTACCAAGAATTTGGTGTCCAAAGTTGGCCGAACACTTTCCGACCACCAGAATCGCCATAATAGGCATAAATTATTTTGCAATTTCCTGAGACTACTCCGAGCGATAGAATGCAAGATGGTGATTCTTTTAGTATATTTGTCTTTACTATATATACATTGAAAAGAAGCGAAGATACGAGCAGTTGAACCAGGGTTGAACATTGAAAATGCAACAGTGAAATTGGTAATGCATCATTTGCATAAATTTCACCACATCGATTGTTTCAAGGTAAGAAATTCGCTCTAAAATGAGTGAGAAAACAATAAAATTTACGAATATTTCAGAATATATAGTATCGATCAAGTGGAATTTGTTGGTGGTATTTTCGTATTTCTACTGCAGATGCTGACTCTTCCACAGTCCCTAACACTGCTTCTAACGCAAAGGACCATGGGAATCCCCCGAGGCGTTTTGTTAGGGACTGTGAAATATTGTGTCTGTTTCTTGGCAAATCTGTCCATTTCTCGGCAAATGCATAAATTTTGATAATGACCGAAGATTTGGACGAGAGCTTGCCTTTGCAAGACTTAGAAAGCATCTGGTCGGGTTCAGAGGAAGATTTGGAGACGTCTATGCATAATCTATCGCTGAATGACGAGGATTATGGTAAGTGTTGACAAATTGATACAAGCCATGTGT